CTCAAAATGATGTAAATGATAAGGGGATTAATTTTACTCCATAACAAACAATCCCAAGTCATCTGGGGCTAGTTAGTTAAGTTAATACCAGCATCAAAATTCCGGGTGCTTCCCACCTTCCCACATTGTCACCCCAGGTATACAGGCTTCCTGGTGGTTAAGACAGACCCAGCTGTTTCAGGTACCACATCCTCACATAATAACATCCAGAGCAGAAAAGGGACAATGTGTCAAGTCTTTTTTTGTTGTTGTTTTAATGAGTAAAATAATCTTACCCATGCCGAACCGGTTTGGCTCAATGGATAGAGCGTTGGCCTGTGGACTGAAGGGTCCTAGGTTCGATCCCGGTCAAGGGCATGTACCGTGGTTGCGGGCGCATCCCCAGTGGGGGTGTGCAAGAGGCAGCTGGTCAATGATTCTCTCTCATGTTTCTAACTCTCTATCCCTCTCTCTTCCTCTCTGTAAAAAATCAATTAAAAAATATATATATATATAAAGTTTGGAATCCGATTGCTTTAAAAAAAAAAAAATCTTACCCAAAAGTCCCCACCCAGTGACCTCCCCTCATCCTTCATTGGCCAGGACCAAGTAACATGCTCATTTTTAAACCAATCATGGCAAAGGGAAGGCCACCATAATCTATTTAGTACAGTCTAATCTAATTTAAGGCATGAAAGAAGGGAAAACAGCCATTGCGTAAGGCCAGTGATTCTCAAACTGTTTAGTCTCATGACATCTTCACTATTACTTAAGATTACAAAGAGCTATTATTTATGTGAGCAATAGTTTACTGACAGTTGTTGTATCCGAAATAGTTCATTTAAAATAACAACAACAAACCCATCATTTGTTACTATGTTGCGGTGGGCAGAATGATGGTCCCTAACCATGGCCCACATCCCTGGAACCTGAGACTTTGTAGCAGATGCGATTGAGAATTTTGAAGTTGGTAGATCGCCCTGGATTAACGAGGTGGGCCCAATGAAATCACAGGGATAGGTATAATCAAAAGAAGGAGGCAGTGGCAGAATGATGTAGACTAAGAAAGACACATTTGGCTATTACAGGCTTTAAAGATGGAAGGGCACCATTAGCCACGGAATGTCGGTGGCCACTAGAAGCTGGAAAAGGTGAAGAAATGGATTCTTCCTTACTGTCTCCGGAATGGAGAGCAGACCTGCTGACACCTTGATTTTAACTTAGGGAAGCCAATTTCAGACTTTTGAATTCCAGAAAGATACTAAATTTGTGTTGTTTTATGCCACTAAACCTGTATTAATTTGTTACAGCAACAACAGGAAACAAATACGTACACATCTTAAAATTAAAAAAAAAAAAGACTATGTTTTCCAAAACAAACAAAAAAATCAGAAGAGTGGCATTGACTTACATTTTTGGCAAATCTCTTCAAGGTCTGATATTAGAAAAGATAGGTGAATTTTTGCATCTGCTTCTGCATTCAATCTCTGGAAAACTGTTGTACATTCATGAAAAACTATGAGTGGAAAGGCAAATCTAGAAATAGTTTTGACTTCATGGTCCTCTCAAGCGGGTCTTGGGGACTCACAGGGCTGCCCAGACCACACTTTGAGGACCTCTGGTGCAAGAAATCAACAATTTTGAGCCATCCCCCAAAGAACAGATAGGAAACAGTTTTTTCTTCCCATATTCTTAGAGTGAACTTGTCTGGCTTTAAGGTATGACCTTAAGGTGATGACCGATACAGTGCAATGATTTTCACATTTCTTCCTTAACTCAAACAATATTTCTAAGAGCTTAGTTTGTGCCTGGAACGTCTTTATGGGCTGAGCTTATAAAGCAAACAAGGTGGATACAGCTTTTGCCCCTAGGAAGCTTCTTACATTTCAGTTGAAGAAAAACAAGCACATAAGTAAGACAATTTCAGATATTACTAAGGAAAAGTAATGGAAGAAAGTGTGAGGGGGCCATACTGATGTGGCTCAGTTGGTTAGAGTGTCCTCCCATACACCAAAAGGTTGTGCAGAGCACAGACCTAGGTTTGGGTATGATCCCCATTGAGGATACTTACAGAATGCAGCCAATCGATGTTCTCTCTCACGTCGATGTTTCTCTCTCTCTTCCTGTCCCTCTCTAAAATCAATAAGCATATCCTTGGATGAGGGGGGAAAAAGAAGTGGGAGGGGTAGTTCAGATGGTGTGCCAAGTGCTACTTTAATTTAAAGTGAAGTTAGAGCTGAGATGTGTAAGAAGGAACCACTGGGAAATGTGGGAGTATATCAGGTAGAGAACAGCAGGGGCAGATATCAGGAAGGGGTTTGGCAAGGCAGGAGGACAGAAAGAAAGCCAGTGTGACTGAATGTAGTGTGCCAGAGGAAGGAAAAAAGCAAAACAAACACAACACAAACCAACAGCTGAAGGGCCAAGCAGGTGTAAATTATTAAGGTCTTCTAGGACATCGAAAGGACTTAAGGTTTATTTTCAATTGCCATACAAACCCACCGGAGGAAATAAGAGACTCTAATTATATTATGTGCCAGGCTTTGCTTCTATAAGTTCTTCCACCTTCTCCAAGGGCTGGTCTTCAGCCTAACACTTTTCCAATCTTGATCATGACGACTCTCCAGAAAGGTACAGGACCCCAATAGACACGGCACACCTCCCATGAATTGTTTGTATGCCAACATCAAAAACAGATCTGATACCCATCAGGGGGATTTAAATGACAGGTTGCTTGACGTGGAATGACTTCTGCCTGTTGGCCAGTGTTGTTGTGCGGCCCCAAAGGCACAGTGTGAATTACGCCTGTTTGGCAATTGCTGGACTGTCCCTTGTCCAAAGCGGTAGGTGTGTGCCTGGATTGTAAGGGGACTCTGAAGTTAGCTTTTCTCATCTCTCCGTCATACAGGAACACACACTGGAAACTTGGCTCATTTCTGGAGACTTCTTGTGACGACCCTCAGTGGCTCAGAATGCACAATTGGTCGTCATTATCCCTTGTGTAATCAGTGTCTTCAAACTGTAGGGTGATGTTACAGTGATGTTTACAGAAGAGGGGACCATGCTCCACACCATAATCAAATCATGTAAGGAGGAGCCTTCTTAGATATCATGCATCTATACACAGCGATTAGATATCTAGTGTCTATTTTTATAGGATAGCGGGAGAAGTCACCTTCTGGCTCCCACTAGAAGAATCCGGATGAACCATGTGCCTAAGAACTCTTAAGGTATTCATTATAAATACAAACTTGGCCTAAGTGTTTACCTGACAAGCCTCTCCACAACGAGAGGATACAAAGAACTCACACATGACCACGTGACTTGAAATCTGCTTGGAAAGGGCCTTTAGAAGCAGCTGGGAATTGGGACCCAATCAAGACACTGCCCTGCAGGTGTGATGGCCTCGCCCTTAGGAAGCTCCATCCACGTGTGTCAGAAGCCTCATCACAGAGCAGCTGTGGCTCCTTGGGCCCCAGAGTCTCCCTAGTCGTGGCTCCTGAAAAAAAGAATTAAAAAAATTATTGTGAACATTTTTCTATGACACTTGACTGTACATCAAAGACACTACAGTAGGTCCTTCCATGGCTGCATCTTAAAAAAAAAAAAAAAAAAGGAATTGCATTCTGACCGTTTCTCCCTGCCTCTCCTTCGGGGAGGACAGAAAGGAAAGATGGTTTTTCTCTCTGCAGCGGGAACCGGTAACTGAACCTGTTGTTGTTCCGCTAAGCCAGCCTGCCTGCAGCCTCGGCGGATTCCGATCCTAAGTGCTCGGGGAGTTTACGCTTGAAACCTGTGCCTCCCTCCCACGTCAGATAAGCGGGAAGTTTGCTCTAGCCATGATAAATCTGCACACGGCGGGGATGTTTTTGGCCCAAAGCGTACGTTAGGACGATGATTAAAGCCGCCCTCCTCCCCTGCTCGCGGCCGGGGAGTGTGTTTTGCCTGCATCTCCAAGGAACGTCCCGCAGCTGCCGCCGGCGTGTGCGCGCGCGGGGCCCGCAGCCGGCGCTCTGCGTCCCCGGGGCCGGGCGCCTCGGGTCGGCCCGAGCGTCCTCCGCCCGCCGCGGCCACCGGTCCTCCCCGCGGTCCCCTTCCGTCTCCGAGCCCAGCCCGGGGAAGGGAAGGGGAAGGAAGCCGTCGCCGCAAGCCGGCGTCTCGGCCGGCTCCTAACACGCCGCCACCCAAAACTTTTTTTTTTTCCTCCTCCCAGCTGCGCGCAACTTTGTGCCTTTTCGCCCAGCACGTTCTCGCCCCGACTTTCAGTTCCCTGGGGTTCCCTTGGCTCCCCTCGCCGTCTCCCCCAGCGCGGGAGGAAGGGGGGTGGGTTTGGGAGGGAGGGGGTCCCCGGGGGCGGGGGGCGCGGAAGAGGAGAAGGGGAAGGGGAAAGGGCCGCGGCGGCCCGGGAGGAGGAACCGGGCGGAGGGGACGGCGACGGGCGCGGGTGCCCGAAAAGGAAAGCGCCGCGGCGGCCGGATAAAGTTCGCGCCCTTTCCGCAGCGTCCGCAGCCTCCCCTCCCCGCCTCTTCTCTCTCTCTCCCTCCCTCTCTCTCTCTTTTGACAGCTGGGCGCTTGCGGCCACCTCCACGTCCTCGCCCGCACCCCCCAGGGACGCCCCGAGTTGTTTTCCATCCCCCCCAGACACAGCCGGCTGGGAAAGTTACAAGGCGGGAGGGAGACACAGACATCCTCCTCGGGCGAAACCCCCTAGACCCTAGCCGGGGGCAAACAAGGAGGCCACACGAATCCGACTTTTTTCCGGTGCAAAAAAGGGAAGCCACCTTGTAGTCGCGACAACAATCCCCGCGGAGAGGAGCCTCCCGGGGGGCCCGCCAGCCCGCCCCCCAGGTCACCCCGCCCGGCCCCCGGCCGCCCGCCCCCGCCCCCGCCCCCCGCGGCAGCCCCCTCCCGCGACGGCCCGATCCCTTTCTTTTTTTCTTCTTTTCCTTTTTGTGTCCCGTGGAGCCGGGGAGCGCCGCAGGCTCCGGCTCGGGCGCGGGTGTAAATCAGTCACCTGAGCCCGAGGGGCCGCGGCGGGCGCGCGCGGGCGGGGAGGCGGCGGCGGGCGCGGCGGCCGGAGGAGCCCGGCGGGCGGGCGGGGGAGGGAGAGAAAGGCCGAGACGGAGCGGCGAGCGGCGGCGGCCGAGGGGCTGGTCCAGGCGCGGCCGCTAAGAGGAGACCAAGAGGCGGGGGCTGCACTTGACAACCAGCATGCGGAGATGGTAAGAAGTTTCCACCCTCCTTTCCTTTCCTGCTTTCTAGTCGAGACTTCGGGAGCGGGGAGCCCCCCGGCCGCCCGGGGAGGAGGGGTGGGGAGACAGTGTTTTCTCCGAGTCCGGCGGGGAGAGGTGGAGGGGGGTGGTGGTGGTGGTGGTGGGGAGGGGGGCATGGGAGGGGAGCCCCAGTCCCAACCTGGCCCCTGCTGTGCCCCCGAAATCCCCTCTCAACTTGGCCCAAGTTTGCGCGGAGAGTTCCAGGTGGGAGGGTGTGCGGGGGCGCTGGGAGCGTCGCCCCCTCTCGCGGCTGCGGGGAAAGGTGAGCGGCAGCTCCTGGGGGTTGGGGACTGGCTGGGGGGGAGGGGGAAGGGGGGCCAAGGGGAGGCGGGGGGGATGAATGGAGCGCTGGAAGGAGCTGGGGCGGGCGGAGAGGAAAGCTTTGGAGACAACGGGAACTTTTAAAACTTGCCCGCGAGTGGGGGACGAGCGGCGGGGCGCGCGGGGAAGGCGGCCGCGGCCACCAGGTCCCCCGCACCTTGGCTGTGCCCTCCCTTCGCCCCCACGTTGGGGGGCGGGGTGGGGGGGTGGAAACTTCCCTTTGCAAATGAAGAAATTGTAGGAAGTGCTCCCGGAGGTTGTTAGGAAGAATGTGCAAAGCGCAGGCAAGAAACCCCGGAGAGGGAGAGGTTTTGGAGGTGCAATGTTTGGATGAGCCGATTTGCCCGACTTACACGTGGACCGCACGGTGGCATTTGGGGCCCGGAGAGGGGGCAGAATAATAATACCGCCCCCCCCCCCCAAAAAAAAAAAAACCAACCTAGATATAATCCCCTGTGAAGTGAGGTTGAGATTAAAAAAATAAAAGTTCCAAGTGCAAGTGGCGGCGGCGGCGGCGGCGGCGAACGCAGCCGCGGAGGAGATGCCAGCACCGCCGGCTGCGCTGGAAGCGGCTCCGGGCGGCGAGGCGGCGCGCAGGCGGCTCGCCCGCGGACGGGCGCTCTGTCCGCTTGCGGGGAAGGGATTTGCTAGAAATGGATTTGCTAGAAATGGGGCTGGACCACTCGCTTCCTTTTCGTTTGCTTCCACCCGGTGCTGCTGCTGTTACCCCCCTCCCCCCTGGGGGATCTCCCGGCCGGTTCCGCAAAGTAGATGGCATATGTAAGAAGGCAGGTAGCGGGTCGGCATGTCCCCTCTCTTCCCTTCCCCTTGGTGTGTGACATCCCTTGTTTCCGTGATCAAAGTCAAGACTGGAGGGTCAGGAGATGCGACTTGTCAAAGGCAGGCGCTCAGACAAAAACAGTGTGCGCCCAAGACGGTGGCTACAGTGACGCGGACAGAAATTAAAGTGATTCTGAAAGCAGCGAGCGGTGTATGGTGCTTCCCATTTTCCCCTAGGGTCAGGCTTGTTGGAGAAGGGATGTACAAAAGACATCATAAAAGAATCCCCGAGTGCCCAGGATTAAAGAGGCAGGGAGTGGCTGTTTCATTATTTTTTTTTAATGTACTTCGTGGACAGTTACAATGGTTGGAACCTGTGTTTAAGTGGAGGCGTCAAAACAGAATGTTCAAGGTATCTGTTTAGCGCTTGAGCGTTCTTTTTTTTTTTTTTTTTTTTTCCTTCTTCTAAGCGGCATTTAACACAAGAACACTTTAAAAGCCGGATGTAGGGATTCATTTTTCTTCCCTTTTTTTCTTCCTTAGCCTGTGCCCTATGTGTCTGCACATCTTCCGAACTCTGGTCACTTTGAACAGTGACTAAACCCATGTGTCACCCGCTGCGTTGTGTGTCCTGCAGTTTCAGAGATGACTGTGCACACACATGCGTGCTGGCAGTGGGGGGGGGGGGGGGATAGATTTCCTAGGTGGTGTGTCTGATCGGAGGACGGAACTCGAGAGGAGTGAGACCTTGTCCAAACTGATAGAACTTCCTTTACTCTTTGGAACCACCCCACCAAAAATCTCTTAGGAACTTCTAGAGGGTATCTGGGTTTTCATTTGTAGCGGTTTCATTTAAACTGTTCCGCCTTAATGAAGTTCTCAGTGGTAGCTAACTCTTCTGTTCCCAGAGAGCAGAGTATTTAAAATCCAGATTGCTAATCACTTTACCAAAGTATTCTGGAGTATCTTCACCTGAGGGAAGTGAGGCTGGGCTTGAATGGGAGACTCTTGTGAGAAAAGTTCGAAACTGACTTTTTTTCTCCCCCCCCCCCCCCCTTGAGCATTTTAAGTTCGGTGTTGTTTGCTTGTTAAACTTAGGAGGGGGTGGGGGAAAGCAACCTTGGGATTTCAAAACATAAATATTAAGAAAATATTAATAGCAGTTATACATTCCAAATACTGATCCCCGCTTCCCCTTTTACCTGAAATGTGAAGATGTCTGTCAGGCAGGGAGGTGTGATGACAAAAAGAAACAGACAAAAGCAAGCGGGACTGTTGCCGTATTAAAATGTAAGTGTTACAGTTTGAATTTTCAAGTGAGAGTTTTTGAGTTCAGCGCTTTACATAACATTTTGTCCTAATCTCGCTTGCTGTCAGGGATGTTTCATGGTTGTGCAATTGCTGCAGTCAAGAATGCCAATTTGCATTCCAGGAGTGTCATTTGATTACTTTTATCTGCACAGCTCCAAGACCGGCCCAGACCGCTCGTTTCATCTTGCCATGTCACGAGTCAATGCTGTGTCGTCTTTTCAAAAATCTGCCTGATTTAGACAAGAAAGAAAAGCACTTTCATGTAGCAGCCGCAGTCCCCTGCTAACTTGTCAGCAGCAGGATATGATTCACTTGGGCCCAGAAGAATGGAACAGAGAAGGCGGGTTAGGCGGTTCAATAAAGCCCACGGACAGGTAGTGTGTGACATCCCCAGAGAGCTGCAGTTAATGAAGAACAGGTCTGCTTAGCTCTCCACACGCTGACCTGGTGCTGTCCCCACAGTTTTCTCATTTGATCTTTCCCAGCAAATTGATCTTTTCTTGTTTTTTTTTTTTTTTTTTTTTTTTTTTTTTTTTCCTTCCAAGTTAGTCCTTGTGGGACTGAAATTAGCAGAGCAACTTAAGTTGGATAATACAGCTGTTCAGAAAAGGAGAAATTGGACACTGGCTCAGAAAGGGGGCGGGGGTTGGGAGGTGGAGGGAGCTGTTCTTTTTGTTGTTCCTGGGAATATGTCTTACATTAAGGGAGTCCAAAATAGGTGATGACTTGAAGCTAGTGGTTCCCCTTTATTTTTAGAGTTTAGAGTTAAGGCTCCTCACCATTTTAAATATTCCTTAAGTATTTGAAAAGATGGTCCTAGTGAGTATGAGGAGCTCTGTTTAGCATTTTTCAGACTCACTTGTTTGAGACAATTTGCCAGTGCACTGTGTGGCTTTTATGGCTATGGTAAAGCTAGACTAAATATCAATGGCATTTTCCAACTATATTATTTATAGTCTTCTAAATAACTACAATCCCAAACGTGTCCAATACTGAATGGCAGAAAAGATTAAGCAATAAAAAAGTCATTACCAATGTTGTGTATAAATATGGCACATGGAAGTGTTTTCTACAAATTACCATGAGCATCTCTGTTTCTCATAAACCCCACAGAGACAGTTTTAATAAAACATTTTTTTTCCATCCTGCATTTAAATGTAGGTTTTTAGAACTGGGACCGGACCACAAGTTTGAATTTGGTATAGATGTTAATATATGTTGTTACTTTTTTTTTTGAAATTAAAATTGATTTTAGCAAGGTGGGTAAATCTAAGTTGGGAATGTAGATATAGCTTAAAACACAGGTTAAAGTTTTATTATAGAATTTTGTATATAAAGCGTGGGTTGGAGGTAAGTAATAGATTCACAACGTGAGGTGGATATAAAGAGCAGTGTTTCCTTAATTCCTGTGCAGATGGTCTCATTTACCATCTACATCTTTACAAGAAACAGTTGAAAACATTCCTTGTAGAAGAGGAGGCAGCCTTTTCAAATCTTTCCTGCTGGATGGAAATTGCATAGGGTCATTGGTTAGTAAACTCCTCTCTGAAGAGCTAGAGGGAGCCTCGTGATTTTATTAGACATATTTAAGGGGGAAAAAAATCACTCTGGCAATCAGAAGTTTGTAGAAAAAGTACATAAAGAATATTGGCATACTGGCTTAGTGTTTAGGTTTGGAGGGGTTATTGTAGGTTTGGTGTTTAGTTTTTTTTTTTTTTTTTTTTTTTTTAAAGCTGTGGCAGAAACAACAGAACTTCCTGTAAGAAAAGTGATCAAGTAGTTTGCTAAGGTTTCTAAGTTCTACCTTTTAGGTTATTTTGAAGATCAAGCAAAATGCAAGCAAATATATTTTAAATCTGATTTGGTTTGCTAAGGTCTGTTTATCGTTTTGTTAACTGAAGGGGTTCTCCTGTTAGGAGGCCAACCTTCCATGTTCTATTAAATGTAACTTCCTCCCAAGTCACTAAGGAAGGGGATGGGTACCTTCTTTCAGTTCACTTAGAGACAGCCTCCTCTCTGTAAATAATGGTTTTGAAGTAGTTCTACACACAACTGCCGTACTCTGGAGAGAAGTCTCCTTTAAGATACATGCTTCATGGTATAAGCATAAATAGTAAGCCATTTATATTAGGAATCAATAAATATTTTACATTTAAAGAAATAGAACTCAAGTGGTATTAAGTTCAGTATTTGTTGTTTAATTTCACAGTCTTCCCACTAAAATTTGCGATATATTTACATTCAAGAGTCATTGACCATAATTGTTCTTTAATATGTATATAGTAGTTTTTAGTAGCCTTACTTTGGACAAACTTATTTGCCATTTAAGTAAATAATATAATCCAGTGAGATAAACTACCCAGATTTGCCTTTTTTTTTCATCTCTTGAACAGTAGCTCTCATTATATCGCTAGCCAATAAAAGTCTTTATTTGTTGCTTATTAGAACCCTCAGTACACTCAAGAGTTCAGCTATAATCTAATTTGGCTGTTCAAAGAGGCTCCCTTGTTTTAAAACATGTTCTCAGTATGCTTTTA